AGAATACAGTAAATGATTTCCCAGTTACTTTACATTTTGTATCATTTTTTTTTTCATATTTTCCCTGTCTTTCAATCTTTCCAAACTTCATTATAAATGACTAATCCTTGCGTAGGTAATGGCTAGCAAAACAAAGATATACATTGTATTGGAATTTGTTACTGGTGGAGAGCTGTTTGATAAAATTGTAAGGCAGTTTCTATCTTTACCGTGAGCTTATGAAGGCCCGAGTCCTTGTATTATCTGGTCGGTCTTTATATAACTCTTCTACTGTGTTTTTGTTGCTATTAACTTGAGTCAGGCACGCAGCGGGAGGTTGAAAGAAGATGAAGCAAGAAAATATTTTCAACAGCTTATATGTGCTGTGGATTACTGCCATAGTAGAGGTGTTTTTCATAGAGACTTAAAGGTGTGTAACTCTTGCACCCTTCACATTTTTAGCAGATAAAAGAATATAAAATTAAATTGTTCCTTTGTTTTATCTGCTAAAGCCTGAGAATTTGTTGCTGGATGCTAATGGAGTGCTTAAAGTATCAGATTTTGGATTGAGTGCATTGCCTCAACAAGTTCGGGTGAGTACATTGAGTAATTTTTGAAAAAAGTGATAATATAATTACGTGTAATTGGAAACTGATTATCTTATTGATAATAGGAAGATGGGCTACTTCACACAACATGCGGTACGCCAAATTATGTTGCCCCAGAGGTAGATTGGCTTTTACCATTACATTTAATCTCATGAACTTTTATTTTTTCTTCTTTTATCACTACTTCCTTATCGTCTAGGTGATTCACAACAAAGGTTATGATGGTGCAAAGGCAGATCTGTGGTCATGTGGTGTTATTCTCTTTGTTTTAATGGCAGGCTATTTGCCCTTTGAAGAAACCAATCTAACGGCTTTATATAAAAAGGTGATTTTGATGACTCCATGTCCATTTCCTTCTGTTCACCTGACCGAACTCGATTCACATTATTCTGATCTTTCTCGAGGGCATAACAGTACAACTTAATTTTTCTCAAACATTTATTATCTTTAAAATCTTTGTGATTAGAATCTGTAAGAGTTGAAGCAGTTTACGAACTAATTACTAGAGGAATTCTTGCGAATGCATGTATGCTCATTACTGTATTTTTTTTCTTTGTTAAATGAGGTACCTTTTATGAATTAGATAATTAGCATGATTTATTTAATGTCGTGAAGCTGTCTAGAAAACTTATCATATTGACTTTTGTGAATCAAAAAGACAGTCCTTGTGTGCTTCTTTTTCGTTTATTTTGTTTTTCCTATTTCCCGCGACAGATTTACAAGGCTGAGTTCACGTCTCCTCCATGGTTCTCTTCAAGTGCAAAGAAACTAATCAACAGAATACTTGATCCAAATCCTGCCACTGTATGCCCTTTTGTTTTCTTTTCTTATTTACTTGTGATCTGTTACTAACCTGGTGTTAACAAATATTCTTATTTTTCCCGCCATCTTACCAAATATGTGAAAAACCTTTTATCTGTTTTTATTTTAATGATACGTAACAGAGGATTACATTTGCTGAGGTCGTTGAGAATAATTGGTTCAAGAAGGGATATAAGCCTCCCGTATTTGAACAGCCTGCTGTTAGTCTTGATGATGTAAATTCTATTTTCAGCGAATCTTTGGTAAGTCTTTGGTTCTGCTGGTTAGCCTGATTAATTTTTTTTTTCACCAAAACTTGGATTCTAACCTCAATCTCAATATTGACTGCGGTACACAGGATTCGAAAAATCTTGTAGTTGAGAGGCGTGAAGAGGAGGGGCATGTGGCACCAGTGACAATGAATGCCTTTGAGCTTATATCTAAATCTCAAGGTCTCAACCTTAGTAGTCTGTTTGAGAAGCAAATGGTATGTGTATCTTCATAACTAAATGATTTGTATACTTTTCCTTATTACAACTGTGCATCACAGAAACCTGTAGAAAAAAGAAAAAATAAATAAAAAGAATATTTTCTTTTATTTTTACTTTCCGTTTCACAGACCATCATGTTATGCTATGTTTATTATAATGGTTAAGGCTAGTTGTATTTTTTTTACAACCAGGGACTTGTTAAAAGGGAAACACGATTCACTTCCAAATGTTCAGCAGATGAAATAATTTCAGAAATTGAGAAAGCTGCAGGACCCCTGGGTTTTGATGTTAAGAAGAACAACTGTAAGGTAAAAAAAAATGCATACTGTATAACTTATATATTTAGTTAATAACTTGGTATACATCTAATTTTTACTTTCTAGCACTAATAACTTGATATACATATCTGATTGTTTATCTTATGGTGCACCTCAGTTAAAGATTCAAGGGGAAAAGACTGGACGGAAAGGTCATCTGTCTGTAGCCACTGAGGTATATGTTTTCAAAGTATTATTTCATGATATGGGTGGCGTTCATATTAGTTTATTTGTATTCAGGAATCGTGACTGTTTCTAATGCTTTAAGAGCCGCTTTTCAGATCTTAGAGGTAGCCCCTTCGCTATACATGGTTGAGCTGCGTAAGTCTCAAGGAGATACTCTGGAATTTCACAAGGTAAGTTTGATGCAAAAAATATGTATGTATTTGTTTATAGAAGTACAATTAAGACCTCTATATTATCAATACTTGTGATGAAAAAAGCAGCACTTTTCTCCATCTTTAGATTATTATTGTGGTTACAGATCATCGAGTAAAGCGACTCTTTTGTAAAACAAATTTTCATTTTCATTAGCTTTGCTTGGACTAACTTGTCTTTCTTTGAAGTTCTACAAAAATCTTGCTACTGGACTGAAAGACATTGTTTGGAAAGCTGAGCCTATCGATGGAGGAAAGGATGGAGGAAAGGACGGAGGAAAAGATGAAGGAAAGGATGGAGGAAAGGATGGTTCGTTTTCTATCAATCTTGATATTTGATTTGAAAGAACAATGATTTTAGCTATTTTTCTAACTATTATTAATGGGTGAAATGTCGAAATTTTGTATCTTTGTTCGATTTTTTTGGTTTGTGGTTTCGTAAATATTATTATTAGTATGTTTCAGGAGGAGGTCAATAGTGAATATGTTTGTCTGCTATTAGTTTGTTAGAGTTGCCAAAAGGATTGGAGCGTTTGGAAACTATTATAAATATGTTTTGGCATAGATGAAAATGTTGGGAATCTAAGTGTGAGTCTAAGTTCTACATTGGATAGAAATGAGAAAGTAAAGTATATAAAGGTGAAAGACCCATTAACCCATTGTCTTAAGTTTTTGAGTAAAAAGTGGTATCGATCCTTTATATAGTTGGTTCAGATGTTATTGGTGTTTGTGTAACTTACAGAAAATCTCCTCGAGGAGGACTTAAGAGAAAGAGTTTCAAAATGACTTGTAGATTCGGCCTTACGGTGAAGTCGTTTCATGATTTGGAGTTATAAAAATGTTTTATAGTACTTGTTTTTAGCCATGGTTTTTTCCCATTAATTTGAACTTGTAAAGTAATATGATTTTCAATTTCTATGAGCAGGTGCCAAACCATCAAAATAACTGTCATCCAAAATTTGATCTCCGTACGAAGTGCAATCACTGGTTGTGTTATTAGCTAAGGGTGCTCATTGAGGATTCTGTCATGGACTCTTTTCCTCGTCAGTACAAATTCCCTTTACTTGAATTCTATAGGTGTAACTTTAATTTTTGTGCTGTCACAAACTTTACAAATCCAAAAGGGAAAACTAATGTTTGTTTATATGGCTGTTTGCTTATGGAAATTAGCTTTTATTTAAATCGTAGATTGATGATTTTTTAATTTGTGCTGTTACAAACCTCAAATGCAAAAGCGAAATCTAGGCCAACTAAGCAGGCATTTGTTTTTGCAGGGCTTTAAAGAGAAGTTTCTTATATTATCATTTTTAAGTCAAATGATCAATATATAAGTGTTGAGCTTAGCATTGCTTCAATTAAATTATTTCAGTTATTAATAATTGAATTAGTTTTCTATAATTGGAAGAATGTATGATCATGGATTAAATTGGTGGTAACTCAAATTTCCCAAACATTTCGCCTCAATATCTTGTGATTTTTAAAAGGTTAATGAAACCATTTTCTTTTCAATTTGAAAGAAGTAAAAAAACACTTTAGGCCAACTAAACATTTCTGGCATTTGTTTGCAAGATGGCTTTAGAGATAAGTTTCTTATATTATCATTTTTAAATCAAATGATCTATACATCCGTCCTTTTAATCTTAAAATAGCCTTGAGCTTAGTATTGCTTTAATTAAATAATTTCAGTAATTAATTATTGAATTAGTTTTTATAATTGGAAGATTATATGATCATCAACAGGGGGGTTAAATAGGTGGTAATTCAAATTTCGCAAACTCTTCTCCCAATATCGTGTGTTTTTTAAAAGGTTAATAAAACCTTTTTTTTAATTAATTACTAATTTGAAATAAGTTCAGAAAACAGTTTAAAATACTATTATGATAAATGTAAAAAAAGGAAAAAAATCACATTTTTTTAATCTTATTTACTTGAAGCTACAGGAGTCATAAAGTGAATGAGAGGTAAAAAAAGGTTCTGAATTCAACTTTCTAAACTCCACGTCTTTTTAACGGTGGAAGAACCGTTTGCCTTAAAACCACCACTATCTTTCAATGTTGTTGAGAGAAGAAGGGAGATCGAAGATGAAGTGCAATAGTGAAGAAAGAAGAAGAAAAAAGCTTTCTGTTTTTAATATAATTTGATAAGGGTAATGGGGAAAGCTTAAAACTTAGAGGTATGCAAAAAACAATAATGGGGTGCATAAAGAAATAGCCGAAAACAAATGCACCGACAGTGGAATAATAAGCCCACTACAAAAAATAACTAAAACAAAAATTACAATCAAGGCCCAACAAAGAAATTTCAACCCAAAGCTAATCTTGATGAAAAGAAGAACCGAAATAATTGTTTCTTTCTACCCCTTCGTCAATATTTTGAGAAGAAATAGAGATACACAAATAAATAAGAAGAAAGATGCAATCTATGTTGCGGTGATATCCCATTTCAGCCAATCAAATTTCCAATATATGCATACGTGTCATGCCTCAATGGTATGGCATCTCCATAATACCACACCCTTTACCCTATCCGTTCTTCTCTCTCTATATGCCTCACTCTCTCTTTCTCTCTCTTCACTCTCCGCCATGCCCCCAGCCGCCGGAGCCGTCGCGTTGCACTCTTCCCTTTGCTCCACCGCTTCTGAGAAACCGTATTCTCCTCTAAGATCAACCCTTCTGCATGTGGCACCTAAACCCAAAAGCCTCCTCCAAAGTCACCCACTTTACCCTCCAACCCACGCCAAACTCTCCCTTGAATTCAAAGAGAAAATTCTCTGCCTTGAGGTAATGGGTATTGATGCAGGCAAAGCACTCTCCCAAAACCCCGATCTTCGCACAGCCACCATGGAATCCATACAGTCCATCATCACCTTCCTTTTCTCCAATGGCATTCTTGAGAAGGACCTGCCCAGAATCTTTGGCATGTGCCCCAAGATTCTCACTGCTGACATCAAAACTGATCTTACCCCAGTTTTTGATTTCATCTTGAATGAACTCAAAGTCCCCGAAAATAGCTTCAGGAGGGTGATCAATAAGTGCCCAAGATTGCTTACATCCAGTGTTAAAGACCAGCTCAGGCCAGCTTTGGTTTACCTAAGGAGACTTGGATTCAAGGATTTGGGGGCCTTGGCTTATCAAGATTCTGTTCTCTTGGTGTCTAATGTAGAACACACCCTCATCCCTAAACTTAGATTTTTGGAGACTTTGGGACTTTCCAAGGATGAGATTAGGAATATGGTGTTGAGATGCCCGGCACTGCTCACTTTCAGTATAGAGAATAATTTTCAGCCAAAGTATGACTATTTTGCTGGGGAAATGGGGAGTAAAGTGGAGGAGCTGAAAGAGTTTCCTCAGTACTTTGCTTTTAGTTTGGAAAACAGGATAAAACCTAGACACACCGAGGTTGTGCAGAGTGGTATCACTTTACCTTTGTCAGTGATGCTTAAAAGCACTGATGAAGAATTTAGGGAGTTGTTAAAGCAGGGAGGTGGCTGACTATAGTGGGTGCATTCCATTATGTGTATTTACTTCTGTGAATGTAAAGTTTTCCAATGAAGTTGAACTGTTTGATAAATTGTTTATATGTCTTGTATTTTTTACTTTCTTAGTACATACTTTCTTAGTATATACTAGTTAAGTTTCCGTCTCAAATCTCTGGTTTCGTTTTTATAGTATTGAGTATATTGATGATACTGAGAAGAAAAGCTGAATTAAGTTCTATGTGTAGTAATTTCATATTTTATCAATGGAACTTGGAAACTTTATCATCTAGGCTAGCAGTTAGAAAAGCAGTTTCTGCAAGAATAGAATTTAAATAATCTGTCAAAAGATATAAGATCATCAACAATGAAAATATGACATGATGCAGGTGTTGTAGGTTTCATATTTTCCTACCAGTAGCCAGTAGGTGTAAGAGTGGAAATTTAAATGCAGGTTTGCAGTACGATGCCTTGTTCTAAGCAGTAACTATACGAGATGCTTAAAATATGCAATTTTATAATTTGACAGTATCTAGACAAAGCTAGAAATCTATGAAGTAGGAAAAAGGCTAAGGAAATCTGTGCACTAAGGATAAAATTATCTAGCCCAAATAGTTCATTTGTAAATGGGTTGCAGTTGATAAGATCTTAATGGAATAGATTCAAAAATTAAAAAAAAAAAGTGCTTCTTTCTTGATTTCATGATACTGGGAACAAAAGGTGAAAATGTTAAGTAATTTCATATTTATCAATGGAACTTGAAAGGACATGTTTGAATTAATTTGCAAATTGGAGTTAAGTTTGTAAGTATGCAAAAGTAATTCCAACTTTTATTTGTACAAAATTATGTTCAGGCAAATATTGATGTTTATATATATTTTAAAGATGATCAAACATGCTACGAAACTAAATTTTTTATCTAAACTGAATTTGAATTGGACCACTCCAAACCAAAAACCACATATGGTGGAAATTTTATCATATAGGTCAAAAGTCAGAACAAAAAATCTCTGCAAGATTGAAATATAATCAAGAGACCAACGACATAGAAATTACATGTACATGATGTAGGTGTAAAAGGTTACATATTTTCCTGAATAGCCAATATGTGTAAACATGGAAATTTAGAATAGGTAGCAGTTGGACCCAGGCCTTGTTCACAGCAGTAGCCTGATACATGATACCGGAAATATTTCAATTTTACAATTTGACCATTTGTAGGCATACCAAGAAATCTCTGTTGTAGGAAAAAAGGGCTAAAGGAATCTAAGAGCATGTGATGATAACTGATAAGCTTATCCAGCAGAAAGAGCTGAAAAGGTTGATGGGCTGCTGTTGATGAGATCTGAATGGAATAAGGTTCCAAAAGAATAATAAAAAGCTAATTTCTTGGTTTCATGTCATCATATACAAATCAAGTACTGAAACCAACCAAATAACTTCCTGTTAACTACTTCCAAAATAATACCTACAAAAGCGTCCAACAACTTATGATACAAACACAAAACAATAGATCCATGATCCATCAGTCAACAGTTTGTACAAGTGGACATGCTGCTTTCAAATTTCATGTACATCTTGTGTATTTGCTGCATGGATATGATCACTTTAGTCATTCAAAATGTTTATCTCGATGTTTTCCCACGAGCTTTAAACCAAAACCGAGTTATCAGGAATTGGAGTCACCTGCTGTTTAGAAGGAAACGTCTTCAGAAATGAATGCAGTCCATGCATCCTGTTCCAAAGTAGATATGAACTTAATTTCTATGTTGATCCTTAGCCGATATTTTATTGTCTCTGAAACAAATAGTAGGTTTTATGCATATATAACACATATTTCACATACCTGAAGAATGGAGAAAGCCTTCTCTGCTATATACTTTTGTAGGAGTGTTGCGCCTCTTTGCTGCAGTTTGTCAGGGTGGAGGCATAATCTTGCTTTCTGATAGGCCTTCTTCACTTGTGAACTTTCTATTAGGTTCGGAAGAGGAACAGCATACCAGCCACTCTCAGGCCATAAAATCTTTTATTGAAAACATAAAATAATGTCAATTCTCCAGTTGTCTTCATGCTTAGAAAGGGGTATAAAATTACAGAAGATTCAATAATCTCGTCAATACTAAAATATCAGTAACAAAGAAAACATTACATGGTGTAGTGTTGAAAGGAGTAGCCGAATGTCAGTTTCCTTGCCAGATGACCACAATCTTATATCTCTGTCCAGCTTCTCTGTTTCTGTCTGTCCCTTCATAGAAACAACAGAACATCAATATAAATCTGTGTTCTAAGATAAAAGAAATGGAAGTAAAGGAAAATCCTAGTAATAGTGATAGTCACGTATTTCACAAAGTAGTAAGTTTCAGCTGCTTTAAAATATAAGAAGACAAGTTAAATTGGAGAGGAATTGCAGCCTGATTAAACTCCTACTCATTTCTAATCACAAATATTTGGTTCCTTTCCTTACATTTATTTTATTATGGACTGTTTTGATCACAACCTGTAAATAAAGTATATTATACAACTTGAGGTAATATTTATCATTTCTTTCTATGACCATGTATTTTTATCAATTTCTGAAATGATATTGTCTAAATGGAATTGATTTCATCAATTTTTCACGAAGTATTTTATATTTTTCTAATTTGAAATTTCTATCGAAAACTATAGGCATATAACGCATACGTTTATTTAGTTACTCATAAGCAATGTTTTTTCCAATATATCATACTACCTTGGAAGATTTAATGTTTCCCGATTCATCACTATGGCATTCACCTGCATCAGACCTTCCTGCATTATATCATGCAGGTTTCAATTAGTTTGAAATTATTCTTTTAAGATAAGCTGAAAAAAGCAAGCACAAAATTTTATTTCTGGTTAAGACAATCACCTTCCACGGCTATAGTTTGTTCACTGCTTTCATTTCTGAAGCTTGATTCTTCATCAGAATTTCGTGATTGAAATTTCTCCTTGGCCCATGCTATTGCTTCATCAATGTCTGCTGTTCCACAACTTTCCTCTCTGAGGTTGGAGTTGACCTCTATGACATAGGAGCTCATAACTTCATCATCGTCCTGTTCTATGACGAATTCTGGAAGAATATAATCATGAACCGAGGATTTTGCCTCAGGTTCTTGACAAAGGCCAGAGACAGCAGAGAACGGGGAACTGAGTTCCCAGTCCTCAGCGGATACCTTCATGCTTTGGTATGAATTGGATTCGAGACTAATTGTCTCTGGCGAGGAGACTCTTCGTGAGAATCCGAAACGAGGACTCTTGAAGGTCTCCTTGTACTCATTATCCTGACAATGAACTTCAGATGAGTGATTATTGAATAGAAAAAGTGGTCCCCCTTGTTTAATTGGGTGTTCCTCAGGCATCATAGTGGTTGAGTTCCATCTGCATGGGACATTTATTGGCCTGCAACAATCACCCAGAAAGAAACCTCAGACTTCCCATAACCATAACTCTGTCAATCATATTACTTTATAATTTTTCACAATATTAAGGAATGCCACAGACAGTGATGTTTATTTTCCAGAAAAGATATTTCGTCTACTAAATTTACTGAAAGAAAAATCCTTGCAATACATTTTCTATATTACACTCCTTCTTACTCTTTCAATTCAGAACCGCAAATAGAGCTAATCACCGAGGGCAAAATGGTCAATTCAGAACGTAGCAGAAGGACTCTCGAAACAGTTAGTTGGTTGGGATTTCATTTCAGTACCTGAGTTTAGAAGCAAAGGCAGATAATGCCACGTCATCACCGATAGCCGGCCGGAGAGGGCTCAGCTCCTCGGAACTCAGCGCCGACGACGAATTCGACTTCGATTTAGCCTTCGACTGCGGCCCCGACCGCTCCCGCGACCGCCGGTCATCATCCGACCCGAATATGTCGCTGTAAAACGCCTCGTTCTTGGCTGGAATCCGGAACACCGGCAGGCTCCGGCCGCCCTTCGACTTTGCCGGAGACGAGAACTCCGGCGGTCGGAAAACCTCCTCGTAGAAGGAATTGGACCTGGAGAACTTGTGCGCGAGGAGGCTCCTCGGCGGGCCTCCGAAGACATCGGCAAAGTCGTCGGGGTCGAGGGTTTCCGCCTCGGCGGTGGCGGCGAAGAAGATGGAGCGGCGCGTGCGGGAGGCGGAGCGGTCCTCCATGGATCTGCGGCGAGGGAGCCCCGGCGTGAGTCCCATTCGCATTCTCCACGACTCGTCCATTTTCCGGCGAGGTTGTTTGACCGGAATATTGACTAGAAGAAACAAAGTGTGGGTTGCGCTTATATATAGAGTTGAGGAACATAAAACAAAAGGTAATGAAAAAAATAAAAAGAAAAACAGTTTTTGTGAAAAAAGCCATTGATTGACTTTTACCCTTTTTCTTTGAGCTTTAGTTATTTTCTAGTAATCAAGAAGCTCATCATCTACAGTTACTGCCATTGATTGCGTTGCTCTAATCACAGTTTAATCTTACAATATTCTTTCAACTTCAATTGTTAAAGATGTGGTTTGGACAAAAGCATTCACCCTTAACCTAGATGTTTGATAGAGTGAATAGTTAAATAATTTGTGGAGTAATTAAGTGGGTTGAGATTAACGAAGATAAAAAGATTTTTCCATAGTGTGATGGTTAAGAAAGGATGGTTGCTTAATATTTTGGCCTTGCCATTATTGTGGTGTTGTTTGTTGAATGATCAATTTTTGGTTTGTGTGAATGATTAGTGATAAGTGATGGGAAATGCATAGTGGAATAATGTGCAATAGAGCTAGAGTTGCTTTGATTACCTGGAAAGATGCATAGGCTGGAATTGGAAGTCCCCACAGACATCATCATGCTGTTGCTGGCTATGTTTGATTTCCCCTTCTCCTTTTCATTATGCTTTTAATTTTCTTTTTGGGTGGGGGCAAGTGGTTTTGTTCTATGCCAGTGTCCACCCTTTTGCTTTGTCCTCATGCAAAGTGGGTTTGTAGAGAGCCATATTTCAAGATTCAGGAAAAGAATAAGAGGATAAAATTCATTTATGGAATGTACTGTGTGTATGTATGTATCTGGGCATACCGTCACTCTCTAATACTTTGCTTTCATATGAGGGAAAATTAGATCAGAGTGTCAGAACCATGGAATTACGTGTATGGCTCATGATAAAGTTGCCAACGGGGCAGGTGAGGGAAAGGATGATTGGTACCTCACAAGGGGACACTGCCTGCCTTAAATTCATTTCTGATCACACCCTTTTCTGCCTCACTCTTCTTTAAACTTCCATTTAGAGATCATAATCAATGCATTTCAGGTGAGACTATCATACACTAACACAGAGGCCTAATCATTCTCAGGTCTTTCATTTTTATATAATATGCAATTTGTCTTTCGTATTTTAATTTATCTGGCTGAAATAACCACAGGGGAACATATACAGTCCCAAAGAATTGTGGTGCTAAGAACAAACAACAAGGTTAAGTATTGATAAAGCTGTACTTAGGAAGAAGACCAATTTGTTAATTGTTTTATTATGAAAAGAGTTAGCCAATTAATTGGACCACAAAACATGGTTTGCCTCCCATATTATGTGGTGGTCCAAAAGCATAATTCAGAGGTGAAGTGAGTTAAGTCTACTGTTTAGTGTGGTAGGTGAAGGGGAACAAGTGTAATTAAAAACTCATGATTTTTGATAATCATGGATCAATACAATTAGTCCTGGGTCCATCAGATATTGCTGTTCACTGCTTTTGTCAATCTGTCCTGAAGTGCATTCCATTCATAAGAAGCTATCAGGTTCTGTTTTTCCAGCCTATGCAGCAACACATTCACAAGTTAACAATAATAATATTATATGGTTATTTTGCACGTCAATTTTTTAGATCACTTTATTACACCACTTTTTCAATACTTACAATTAGATTGATTACAAATGAAGGTGACCCCGTGCAAGTATAATAATGTTAAAGGTGATATAACACAAAGTAAGCAATGTGGTGCACCTGTCAATTCGAGCAACACTAATTCTTCCGCAAACCGTGTTTGTTCCCTTCCTCATTGTATTCAGATTTGGAAGAAGTTGTTTCTCTTCATTTTGTAATCATCCCACTTGTTCTATCTTCACTATCTGTTTCACTTTTCTCCAGGAAATTCAGCATGCTCAATTCCAATCTCAGGGCACTAAACTCTTCTCAAAAAATTGCTCAGAAAGGCAAAACATCTATCACCTGAACATGTGAGTTAATTGATGTTAAATCATTTCAACCTAACCATTGAGTTCTGAGTCTTAAATATAGAAATGTATTGTATAATTCTATAGAAAGCTTTTGTTGTTTATCCGTTTTGGAATTTTGAATTGTTATTACAGTTTTATCTTTAAAAAACTTATTGAAATATATTGAAAGAGAAAAATATATTTAAATTGTTTTTCTTTTCAATTTTTAAAGAATACAAAACTATTAAATGTAGTGAAATAAGATAACGACACTAGAACATAAACATAACATAAAAAAATATTTGTAGTCTATACCAAAAAGACCATTGTAGTTCAACAGAGTTTATAATATATATATATATATATATATATGTGTGTGTGTGTGTTTTTATCTTTGGAATTTGAGAAAGACTAGCAAAAGAGTTTAAAAGGGTTTCAGTATTATAATTAGATTTATTGTATGTTGTATTTGTTTCTTGTGTTTGTGTGGGTACTGGCTATGTTATTCCATAGTATGTCCCTAGCTTAGTCTAAACACTGTAAAAGAGCATGGAAATATACTGATAGAACACCAATGTCTGTATTCTATGAAGACAAGGAGGAAATGCCAGAAGGAATAAAAACAAAGACATCCATGTTTTGTATAAATAGTCTTTTCACAAAACACGCCTTTCATCTCCACCTATTGCTCAATGCCCAACTGATGTTATGAATGTGCATATATTTTGAAAAATTATATCTTCAAAAGTGGACACGTGTTGATAACAAGTAAAATATCATTTTTTTAATATAAGTGCATAGCAATAGATTATGACAATAGAGAGAAAATATCATAATACCTTTCTCCAATTACAAGACTATGTCTTTAATTTCATGTATGAGAAACTAAGTTACAGATGCAAAGAAAACATAAGAGAGGAAAACTATAAAATCAAAAATTATTTGTAAGTTTTAATACGAAATCATGAGAAAAATAATGGAGTAGTTTGCTCTTTAAGAGGTTCGTGTGTTTATTTTGATGAGAGGATAAGGAAGAGAGAGTAAGACGGTGAGAGAGATGTGATATAGTTTTTTTATATTTAAAAATATATGATTAATGGAAGAGAGAAATAGAAAGAAAATAAAAATGGAAAAAGATATGTAATAAAAATAATTGTATAAAATTATTATTGAAAAATTATAGTATATAATAGTTGTGTGCATACTTTTTTTTTCCTTTTAGGAGAAGATTTTATGTACAAATATTTGTGTGTAATACTTTTTTAAGGTTTATTAAATTTATATTACATGAGTGTTAAATTTTAAAACATGCAAGTCCTCCTACTTAAATATATACAAACAAAAAATTTGGCACTTACAGAAGAGCTTAAATAAAAATAAATTTAACTAATTTTATATATTGTTAAATAATATTATTTCTAAAACATCATTTAGCTAATTATTTATTTAATGATTTTTTTATTCATGATGCGAAATACCTTTATTTAGCATTAATTAGTTAAATTAAATTATGTAACCTTACTTTCTTAATCAATATAAAATTATTCATTCTTGTTTATTTGTAAAATAATTAGGTATTTTATGTACTGTGAATCTTTAAGATGACTCGTGACATTAAAAATAAGTAAAATTAATGTGATTACGGTTTTTTAAAGGAGGAGAAATAGTATAAATGGATACTACCAATTCACACAAACAATTGACTGATTAATATGTTTGACCTCGTTCTGTCAACTTCTTTCTTTTGTTTTTTAGGATTAAATATATTTTTAAAATAAATAGAATATACTAAAAACAATATTACAAAATGGTTTGGCGTTTTTGGTTATATGTAATTTTCAAGTATTATAAAATGTTTTTATAAATTTATTTATTTTCGTTTATATTTTTCCCTTGTTTATAATGAGAGTAAAATCATTGTTTCTTTTATTTATATCTCTTCATTCGTTTAACAACTTTTTTTCATTTATTTTTACTCTTATATTTTTATTTATAATTCAAAACAATCTATCAATTTTTCCGTCTAAACTAGGGTAACCTTCTTAGAATGGTTAAAAATGAGTTAAACAAATAACCCTCTTTTGTTATTCATGGAGAAAAAAAGTTATTTGAGAAATTCAAGACCTTCTAACTTTTTGTGAAATAATCACAGACACTGTTACATGTTTACTCAATTTACTCATAAATACATAATAAATTAATTATTGGATAATATAATTTAAATAGTTTATCTTCGCTATCAAAATAAAAATAGATTAAATAAATAAAGATAATTGTTTCCATTACGAGATCAAAATTATAAATATGTTAAGTTCTGTGTGTTTGAATGTTTGTCTTCACTCGCTTTCGTCTTTCACTCTCTTTGATCAAGTTAGGAGATTATATACAAAAGATACTTTGATGCTAAAGTCACTAAAGATTTGACAAATTCACCAATAAATGCATAATAAATTCAACCACTTATCTCATTAATTATGATCTCAAACATGTATTTATAGATTTCGAAATGACTTCAGATTATTACCGGTCTAATCGTGGCCTAAATGGTAATGATCATACTTTAATATAAACTAATTATCACCAAAACTTAATTGTTGTTTAAGGAAAATCGCTCGGTCCATAGGGTCTAACAACCCAATCTTTGAGTGCTTTAATAGACATTCTTGAATGTATGTATTGTCCAATCTTAAACTAACTAGACGGTCATACAATAACCAAAATGAAAATATGTGTCTAAATATCATAGAATTAATTATCAACTTTAAGTTAACTATTTCATAATATCTTATAAGTTAATTATAGTATATAATATAGTAATAACACTATTAATATTTTTAGTATCATTTTTATTGTTTTAAATGTTCATATAAGAATTTTACTGTAGAATTGACATTTATCTTTCAACTTATACTTGTTTTTTATATTATCATTATAGTCTTTCATTTGGTATTATGACAACCTTATTCATAACTTATTTTTCATAGATTCACAACTAATAACTTCTTACCATCTAATTCATCCAACTTCAACATTCCAATAAGAATATTTGATGCCCATTAGGATCTCAATAAAATATTTTCTAACCATTTGGTGCAATTTTCTATATTATAGCACCTCTCATGTATATATATGATGTAATCACAACCTTCTGATCAATTCTTTAATGCAATTTTATATATAAGTGCACTCACAAAATCATGTGGAAGCAGTAACACTCTAGTGCTTTAAATTTTGGTGAAAATTTTCACATTAGAGCACCTCGCACAATTGTGTGGATTTAGTTATGCTTTTGTGATTGATATATGCAATTTTTTATGTGAGTGAACTATCACAATCATGTGGAAACAGCTACACACTTGTGATTGAATATATAATGCAATTTTTAGATAATTACACATCTCATGACCATGTGGATGTAATCAATCTCCCGTAGTTAATTCTTTGGTGCAATTTTCTACACAATTACACATTTCACAACTATGTAGATGGAACCACACCCTTGTGACAGATCTTTGTTGTCATTATTCACATAAATATAACTCTCACAACCATATGACCACAATCACACTCTTATGGTTGGATTTTGATACAATTTTTGCATAAGCGCAACTTCCACACTCATATGGAAGCAAAATCATCTAGTGTAATTTTAGTATAAATGTGTCACTTACACCTATGTCGATGCAATCACAAATTTTTTGTTGGATCTTTAGTACAAATTTTAATATGATAATGTCTCCCACATGCATGTGAATGTA